TGGTCACCTACTTGCTCTTCTGCATAATTGTCAAAGAATTAATACAGAACAAACAGTATCAAGCTAATAGAGAGGAAGCCAACTTTAGTTCATAATTTGAAGATCTTTTTCCTTATTAGTATTGCATTTTCCTTTGTAGATAAGTGGTTCAATGTCCTGTTGTTGCTCAGTTATGATTTATTGAAAAACTTTTTAATAAAAAATAGGTCAAAGAACTACTTGCACATTGTTTGTGAAATCTATTTTAAAAGTTTAGTAAAAAACACTGAATTATTAAATTCTTCCTTGAGTTTTAGGAGAAAGTGTTTATATGTATGTCTCATCAGACAAGAGAACAAAACTTTGTTACCTGACCTATTAGAGCATTTCAGAGCTCAGTCAGTGTTTATCTGAAATACAGTACCTGGCTACCTCTGCTATATCATTTTGAGAGTGTGTGTGTGTGTGTGTGTGTGTGTGCATGCACACACGCGGATTTATACTCAATGTGTATCCCAGGCCGGTGTCAAACTCAACATGATCCCCCTGCATTGGCCTCCCATGTGCTAGTATTATAAACATGCTAGTGTGCACAGCTCTGATTTGTAATTGCAGGGTTTATACTGTTTAATTTTATAAATTATCAAAAGTACTTATTGAAATAGATGGCTGAAATTAGAAAATATTCTCTTATTAGAGAGTATTTTTCTTACCACAGTTAAGAATTTTAGTAGAAGTCTATCCTTTCCATAGTTCTTTCATGTTTATTTGTACCCTCTTTAGTACGATGGAAGAGTAAATAAAGAGAGAAGGAAAATAATAGAAAAAGTAACGTGAAGCCAGGCTCAAAGTTAATACAGAAAGCATATATCACAGATTTTTTTTTTTTTTTTTTTTTTGCACCTCAGAACCTCGCACCTGGCAGGCAGGCACTTAAGCCACTGAGCTAAACCCCCAGCTAATCACAGAATTTTGAATAATCTGGGTGAATTTCTCCTTAGCTGATGCTTTGAGAACAAAGCTGCCTGTGTGATCCATTAGTTGTTGAGGGGAAGAAGCCCAGCCATTTCTGGCACTGAATTTCCAGTGGCTGTCTTCCCTGGGTCCTCATTAAGAACACTGATAAGATGCAGGGCCTGTAACCGGGCAGTGGCTTAGGATGAACTCTGAGAATGCCAGAAGCATCACTTGCTTTGACTTTTTAAGGGGGACTGAGTACTGGGAATGAACCGAGTGGCTCATTGTTTCTTGACAAGCACTTTACCATTTAGCTAGCTACATCCTAGTTCTTAATTTCATTCTTGTGTAGTGCTACTAGTACGGTTCTTAATCTTTTTGAACCACATAGGCCCTTGAATGAATGAATGAATTTATTGTTTGCTTATTTAGATTTTGGTAGGGCATGTTTCACCACTGAGCTATATTCCTAGCCCTTCTCATTTTTTATTTTGAGACAGTATCTAAGCTGCTCTGGCTGGCCTCAAGCTTGTGATCCTCCTACTTCAGCCTTCCAGGTAGCTGGGGATTATAAGTATAGGCCACCACACCCAAACCCTCAAACATTTTTATGTAGTTTTATCATGAATTTGTTATTTTTTAATTTTTATTTTAAAGAGAATAAAACCAAGCAAAATGAAACAGAAAAAAGCCAATCAAAACAAACCAGTGTAGGTGGCATACTATGTCAAAACAATAGGATATCAACAGTGGCTATCATAATGCCTCTTGTCTTCAAAATAGCTACTCATACTGTCAGACACAGTAAAAATCTAACAGAACAGACTAGAACCAATAAAAACAATGAATGCAATTCAGGACTTCAAAACAAGATAAGAATAAATCTAAAATGGCTATCATAATACATCTTGTTACCTTTTGAGATAGTTGCCCGTGCCATCAGATATAATAAAATCAAACAAGACAAAACATAATAAAATCCAACCAAACAAAACAGTGAAAATGATACAGGAATTCAAAAGAAGATAACAGGAAATTAATAATGGCTACTACCTTCAGAGGAAGATCCCCCATAGATGCTATGTTGGATATTGTTATCCTTTGAATAGGTGATCAGACTACCAGCTTTAGACCTGCAAAGTCAGTGAAACACTGTAAACACTACAAACGTTTAAATTGTATTTTACCTTAATAGCTATCATCCAAGCCTATGTTTTCTCTGGATCAGCTAGTTGCTTAAGGCCAGGGGGTGAAGGGATTGGCTCTTCTTGTATCCCAACCTGCATGCTGGAAGGACTGGCATCTGGCTCTCCTTTCAGGAGCCTGCGCATGGCGCCAATTCGCAGGGAGGTCTTGCATCTTGGTGACTTCTTGTTCTCTTCCCCCACAGTCTGCGAATAGCACTGACTCAAGGGAAAAGGCTGGCATCTGGCTGTCCCCCCAGCAGTCTGTGCATGGCAGTGATTCACAGGGAGGGCTTGCTTCTGGGTGACTTCTTGTCATCTTCTCCTGCAGTCTACAAATGGCACTAAGTCACAGGAAAAAAGCTGGTGTCTGGCTGTCCCTGTGGTGGGCCGCACATGGTGCTGATCTGCAGACAGGGCTTGTTTCTTGGTGACTTCTTGTTCTCTTCCCCTGCAGTCCACAAATGGCACTGACTCATGGGAAAAGGCTGGCTTCTCATGAATTTGATATTGATAAACATACTCATTTTGAACTCTTAATGAGATTGTAATCTGTAGGTCTGTCGTAGGTTTTAGAATCTGTTTGTGTAATCCGACCCAGATGATTTTGATATAGATTGTTAGGTTGTTATGCCATATCATAGGTTGTCATGCCATATGTTTTTGGTCATTTTGAGACAAGTTTTCACTGTGTCGTTCTGGTTGGCCTCTAACTTGGCAGCAATTCTACCTCCCCACCCTGCCAATTACTGGGATTATGGGTGTGTGCTACCATGCCTGGCCTGTGATGCCATATTTTGAGAACGTGTTTCAGGTTTATGATTTGAGGGAGTTTGCAGATTCCATACTGTGAGCTCATGAACAGGTTAATCTGTGATGAGTGCTAGGGGTTATATCTCAGTGGCAAGGGTGCTTGCCTGGCGTGTGCAAGGGCACAGTCATTGGAACCAAAACAAATTCTGGTATATTAGAAGATAAAAAAATTGAACTTGATTGGTCAAAAAAAAGTAAGTCACATAGCCACATTTAAGTTGGAAATAGTATTATTTAGTAACACATATGAAGTCTTTTTTCTTTTTGGGAATGTAATTAATTGGATTTTTTTAGGAGATTGTTTTTGTTTAGTTCTGATGTTGAACCAATTTCACATTCTTGGGATAAGCTGTATATGAGTATGAGAAATCACTGTTTTGATATGACACTTGTTTGATTTGCTAATTATTTAGCTCTTTGCATTATGTTCTGTGGTAAGATTGTCCTAGGGTTTTGATTTATTTTGCTGTTCTCAAATTTTGTAGCAAGGTTTTGTTAACATTATGAAATGAGTCTCTTTTCTGTTTTCCCTGCTCAGTTTTCACACTTTACATAAATTTCCACCACACAGGTATCCTGCATACATGGTTCTACATGTGCAGAGTCAACAAACTATAGTTTGAAAGTATTATAAAATGTACAGATTTTAAAATGTATACAGACTTTGGTTGTTTCCTAGACAACATAGTATAACAACTGTTTACAGAGCATTTATGTCATATATTAGGTCATATTGATAAGTCATCTAGAGATGATTTAAAGTATATGTAGGAAACAGGTAAATACTGTCATTTTATAAGGACTTAAGCATCCACAGATTCACCTATCTGTGGAGGATCCTGTAGGCAGTCTGTTGTGGGTACCAAGAGACAACTATATGTTTTATGAAAAGATTAGAACAATTACAAAATCAGAGGATCCACTCTCCCCATAATTACCACTCTCACTTGTGATACCCATTAGGAAGGCTCAGTGAATTCACTGAAAGCTGTAATCATGCTTGCTATTTGTTACAGGGAAGAGATTCAGATTAATATCAGACAAAGGAAGAGAAGCACTGAGCAAAGTCTAGGAAATTTCCAAATACAGTTTCTGTTGTCCTCTCCCACTGTAGTTAGCACGTTTATCTTCTAGCATAATGTGTGACAGTATATACAAATAATTCCAGACATGGAGGCTCATCACTTTTCATTGTCTGGAGTTGTCATGGAACTTCTTCACATAGACATGACTGACTGATCACATGGGTAATTTCAGTCTCCAGGTTGACTAATACCAGACAATACCATGACTCAGATTTCTCATTCTGAGACCATAATTGCCTGGCCAGTCCTGTCTCTAAATCATGCTGTTAGTATATCCAGTATGATTCAAGGTCCCCAGGCAAACAGAGAAACACTTGAATGACATACTATTTCAGGTGCCCAGATTATCTACCAAAAGCCAGGAGGAAAGACCTGACATTTTCTTTGGCCAAGGCTAAATTCTTCACCAAAGTTCTTTTTGACACAGGGTCTAAATATAAATATGTAGTCCAGATTGACCTTGAGCTGGTGATCTTTCTGCCTCAGCCTCCCAATTGCTGGGATTATAGACATGAGCCACCATGCTCTGTTTAAGCCTCAGCCCAACCCCTAATCTACTCGTACATGGGCAGATGCTCTACTATTGAGCTATAGCTTTAGCTCCAATTTTTCTGTGATTCTTTGGTCAAAGTCAAGTCTATAGGGTTTCAGTGATGGAAAATTCTTTATTTTTAAATTTGAGTCCAACAGCCAGGTATGGTAGTACATAGTTATAATCCCGGCACTTTGGGAGGCTGAAGAAGGAGGACCACTCATTCAAACCCAGTTTGGGCAATTTAATGATGAGTGAGATCATATTTCAAAATTTAAAAAGACTGGGGATATAGTTTAGTGAAAAAGCCCTGGATTCAGTCCCCAATGTGTGTATGTGTTTATACATATATGCATAAATCCTGTATTCTCTTAAAAAATTATAGAGCACTTTTCATTTTATTGCCTTTAAATTAAACTACTTTTCTTTCTTTTTTTTTTTTTTTTAAAGAATAAAGGCTCTCTTCAGTTTGAAGACAAGTGGGATTTTATGCGTCCAATTGTTTTGAAGCTTTTACGCCAGGAATCTGTTACAAAACAACAGTGGTTTGATCTGTTTTCGTAAGTAATCCATTAATTCTGTTTGCTAACATAACTTTTTTTTTTTTGGTACCAGGGATTGAACTCATGACCTTGTGCTTGCCAGGCAGGCATTTATGCCACTAAACTAAATCCCTAGCCATAATTAAATTTTGATGTCTTTCTATGCCTTTATGGAACATATACTTCTAGATGATCTCGTTTTGAAGGTGGCCAAGACCTCTCCCAGGTTCAGGTTTTCTAGGCTGGCTGACAGGACTGAATATACATATAGTCACAGCTATTATTTATACGGTAAAGGGATACAAGCCAAAATCAGCAAAGGGACTGGGCGTGCTGGTGCACATCTACAATCCCAGCACTGAGGACACTGAGGTAGGAAGATTGCTGTGAGCTCAAGGCCAGCCTGAACTACATAGTGAGACCTTGTTTTGAAAAGAATAAATAAACAAACAAAACAAAATCAGCACATGGGACAAGGTATGAGAAGAGGGACAAGCAAGGAGTTGGCTTCCAAGATGGTCACACAGGACACAATTTCCCCAATGCAAAGATTGATGTAAGGCATGGTATGTTGTCTACCAGGGAAAGTTGATAGATTTGGTATACAGGGTTTATATGGCAGCACAGTCTGTACCTAGCACACACCAGAGTTGTAGACTTTACAAAGAAAGCAGGTGTTCGGTGTGAACTATATTATTTATATAAATAATTTTGGTACACAAGCCCCTATGACGGTTTCAAGAAAACTTTATAAAAGTATATGAAACGTGTTGACCATTTACGTTCTTCATTGATAGCCAAAGTCTAACTATATAAGCAGGCTTTTCTAAGGAATAGAATCTCAGGTTTTGGCAGTTTGGCCAGTATGGCTTTAGCACAAAAGTGTTGTCAGTGAGTTCCCACACCACAGAGCAAGACCGACTTGTAGAATGAATCTCAGCTATACCTTTTAGGGATCTTGGATTTAGCCACTTAAAACAAGTCCCATTAACCATGAAGTTTACCTTAGAAAACAAGATTTTCTCATATGTTTCTATATGGATTTTTTTTTTAAAGTGACTTGAGGCATCAGTTCAGGCAAAGAATCAGTTAGTTGAAGCAAACATGCATGCTACTGAGGGTACATACACAGATGAATGTGCTCTTAGATGTCGCATAGTGATATCCCTGGAAACACAGAGTTTTAAATGGTTAGAGTATCCCAAACATGACATGTATTATTCACTTAGTACCAGTTAATAAGGCCCCCAGTTGGATTCCCACTATGGGACTTTTCTCAGTCCAGTCCAAAATTCAGTTCAGGTCTTGGTTTCAAATGGACTTAATTGAGGGAACTTAGTTCTTGGCAATTTGCTTACCTATCATACCAGTTTACCTTCCTCACTTGCTAGGATGAATATTTGGAGTTGCTCGACATGGATAGCACTCACAGTCAGTTGGATAGGTGTGGGTGTGCTTGGCAGTAAGTTTGAATTAAAAAGACCCATAGGAGCCTGAAAAGAAACACTGGGCTTTTTTTTTTTTTTTTTTTTTAAATAGTGACAAGCTTGTAGGAATAGTGCTGAAAAGCAAAGATCATTAATGCCCTTTTGCTGCTCTTTACCTCCCCAGGATTTTGTGCTGGATTTTGTTTTTCCCCTCTTAACAAAATCATTGTTTCCTGTTCAGTAGTCAAACTTTTCATTTTCCCTCTACCCCTACCATCGAGACCTTTAAGAGGAATAAACACATTTTTAAACAGGAAACATTTTTAGTTCTTAGCTAGAAAGACATGTTTAGAAATTGAAAAAAGGATGAAATTTTTCAAAATGAGTATATTATTTCTCACCCCTTTTTTTCCTGATTAATTTTTTTACTGCATAGCCTAGAAAAATAATCCATTCCTTTCTGGAGCCTGCTGTATTTAACAGCCACATTGCCTTTCTATGGTGATAAACATGGTATAGAGGAAGGTAAGAGAAATGGAGTGGTTATCAATCCATTGTTGCAAACCGAAGCTAATCTAGAAAGCTGAACACAAATAAAACAGTAGCAATGAGACACTTTGAGAATGGGTCAGGAGTCCAGTTGATAAGGATTAGTGAAGCAATTTCATGATTTATCCTTTCCTGACTTGGAGCATTTGGCAGGAACCACAAATTAAGAATGCAGTGTTATTCTTTGTATCAGATATATAAAGAGAGCCAATTTGCACTTTGACTTTGAATGTTCTCATCAAAGGTTAAGCCCTTTTCTAAGGGCATCTGTAACTGTTGAGGTAATTCAGCCAGAATTCATGACATTCGTAGTTTATGAATCCATAGAAGGGTCTTTTAAGTCTTAAAGTTTTCAAGGCAGAGTCCAATTTATTATATGCAGCTTGTGGTAAGATTATAATAGCCCATCATAAGAATCAGATTTCAACTTAGTGCCAGACTAGGCAAGTAAAACTCTGTGTGAAGTCAGGATTCTAGAAAAGCCATCAGCTTTTCTTTGGCAGCAGCAAAGCTAAGGTGCTGCAGGTCTCATAGTCATATTTTAAGTCCAAATGACAAGCAAGAGTGTTTTTAGGTCTTTTGTATTTTGTCCAGTTATAGGATCCAAATCAATCTACTAAAAAAAAATACACACATTACACTGGAAAATCCGATTTTATAAGTTCAGTAGCAATAAAAAATTGCTTTTTAAAACTCCAGAATTGGAAAAAAATTTTTTTCCCTACCAGAAATAAATAAATAAATAAAACAATCTCAAAAACTGTATTTTTATTTGAAGATTTCCTTCATCTCATGTCTCTTTTTTTCAGAAGCACCAATAGGTAAAAGTCCTAATAAATATCATTTATTGCAGAGTCTTACTCTATTTTCTGTATTCAGAATTTAAATTCCAATTTCTTTTTTTCTTTTTTTTTTTTTTTTTGGTCTTTTTCGTTTTTATCGGTACCAGGGATCAAACTCATGACTGCCTGCTTGCAAGGCAGGCACTTATGCCGCTGAGCTAAATCCCCAGCCCCAAATTCCAATTTCTTTATTAGCAGAAAAAAGTATTGTATCCCACTCTTTTGAGTAACTTTCTGATTTTGATGATTCTTCTAGTATTTATGAAATAAGTATAAAACATACTACATCAGTTTTTATCATCTATCATAGCTAAATGCAATACCGTAACCACAAATTACAAAGTCATTTTGTACCTCTTCCCTACCTTTTTTCTTATTGCAAGGTCAGTCAAACTCCTAGCAGTAAATTTGGTTTATAGGGTAAATGTTTTAGTTGCTGGGAGATCCTGACTGTAATGCAAGGAATAGAGAAAAGACTAAACCAGTGGTGGCAAACCTATGGCATGTATGCTGCAGTGGGCTGTTAGTATCATTAAAAGCTCAGAAAGGTTCACTGTCCCTACCTCTAGACTACCTTAAACAGTATGCCAGCCCCAGTCCCTGATCTAAATATTATTTTTTCATTCTTATAGGACAGAAAAACTTAAATTTTTAAAATTCCAGCCAGCCATTGTACATGCCTGTAATCCCAGTACTTGGGAGGCTGAGGCAAGAGGATTGCCGTTGAGTTAGAGGCCAGCCTGAGCTATAGTGAGTTCAAGGTCAGTCTGGACTACACATAGCAGGACCCTGTTTCAAAAAATGGAGTGAGCTCCACTGTTGGTGGGGGTGTAGACTGGTGCAACTACTACGGAAATCAGTGTGGAGAATTCTCAGAAGACTAGGATTGGAAGTTCCATTCAATCCAGCTATTCTTCTCCTGGGTATTTTCCCAGAAAAACTGAAAAGTTCAGGTCACAGTGATATATGTGCACCCATGTTCATAGCAGCACAATTTTTAATAGCTAAATCTTGGAAACAACCAAGATGCCCATCAACTGCAGAGTGAATGAAAAAGATGTGGTATTTTTATACAATGGAATATTATTCAGCTATAAAAAGAGAGGCCTTCATAGGCAAATGGAGACAACTTGAGGCTATCCTCATTAATGAAATAAGCAAGAATCATATTTATAAATATCACATTGTGTGTATAGTGTAAAAAATAATAAATATAGGAGTAATAAAACCCAAAATATGTAATTGCTGTTGTAAAGAGAGGAAAAAGAAAGTGCTCTATAGGATATAACTGGATGTATGTTTAAGTGTATAGGTTTGATAACCATATTACTAAGTTTTTGTTGGATCATTGAACAGAACTGTTTGCAGTCTCATTGTTTGAATGTCCACTTTGTATGCTTCACTTTTGTAACTTGAACAACTATTTGTAAGAGGACAATATATAATTATCAACTAGTGATTTCTTAATATTTTTTTTTGAAATTACGTATTCTACTCTTTTTGTTTGTTTTTTTTTTTTTTTCCTTTAAAAAAAATGAAGTGAAGTGAATTGAAATAATAAAATAAATACTGTTGGTTCAATCCAAACTCACCTTTGGGTACTTTGGTTTTTTAACAGTACTATAAATTTAACCCAGGGTCTGGCACATGCTAGGCAAGTGCTTTATCACTGCACTCCTGGCCCGTTTTTGTTTTTTGGGTTTTTTTTGGAATCGAACTTAGGACCTTGCACATGCCGGGCAGGTAGGTGCTTGTACCACTGAACATTATCACCAGTCCTATTTTAATATATTTTTATTTGATTTTACTGTTTGATTATTGGGGCTTAAATACAGGGCCTTCACACTGAGTGAACTAGGTCCCCAGTACCCCATTTATCTATCTCTCTCTCTCTCTCTCTCTCTCTCTCTCTATCTATCTATCTGTCTATCTGTCTATCTATCTATCTATCTATCTGTCTATCTGTCTATCTGTCTGTCTGTTTGTGTGACAGAATTTTGCCCTAGGCTAGACACTGTAGCTGGGCGGAGGCTGGGAGGCAGAACCAGGGGGCTCTATCTTCCCTGCCCCTAGGAATTTACCTGTGGTGCAGAGTGAATACCAATGGGCTACCTGTGCATCCCTAATGCCCCTTAGGCACCCCACACACACACAGCACGTGTCTGGCAGAGAGAAAGCCAGACTTCAGTGGTGGTGGTTG